GAGGTGCTCAGGAATCACTTGCTCTCGAAACCCTACGCAGTGCCAGAGATTAGACAGATTGGGTCACGTTCAAAGATAATCAAAGGCAAGCACCTTAACCTCTGTACGATTTCTCCATTCCTATTAGTCACATCCAAAATGTGATGAAATTATAAAGATGGAGAAAGGATCAAAGGACTTAAGGTTAAAGGGCATAAGTGTGCTTAGAACTATTAAGCAAGGAAATCTATGATATAGTTCTAAACCATGATTGTGGTGATGGCATCATTAGCCTACATACATAATGCCTAATGAGCAGAATGAAGAGACAGGAGCACATAAAATTTGTGAACTATGAATAAGCCAATATTGAATTAAGAGAATAAATGCAATGTCAGTTTCTTGGTTTGACACTAACAAGTAAGAAATATTAGCTGAAACGTAAAAACTCTATTATTTTTGTAAATTCTTGTGGGTAGTATGAAGTCTTTTAAAGTAAAAATTATATATATTTATATATATATAAAACATTATTTAAAAGATACAAGTAGAATAAAAAAGGGGCCTAACCTCTGCAATATGAATCAAAGGAGGCTTTGGTCTCCAAAGTGAAACATGAATACCAACTTTGTGAAGGAATCAAAGATAATACTTCCAAGAAATTTTAAGTTTGGCTAGATTCAGAAAGGAAAAGTAATGGGATAGTTAACAAGGATCTTTCCTGGTTCTGATACTATATAACAATAAACAGGAAAGACCCAAAGTTTTAAGAAGAGAAATGGTTAAACAAACATCGCTAATGATGCATAAATTCACCAGTTGTAAAAGATGGACTGGAGAAAAGTGAAGATGCAGGAAATCTAAGATTCCAGCTAACATGAATTAAGGGAGTGGAGAGAATGGGAAAAACAGACGGACAGATTTGAGTTGTATGGCACACGAGACAGAATCTGTCCATGGATTAAGACTGAAAATGAGAGAAAGAACTGGGGGAGATGCAGAGTTGAGAACCATGGAACTGAAAGACATTTTAAAGTGGTCTTGAATAGAGTAGATCACTGTTAATAGAAAGAAATGAGTCAAAATACTGAATAATGTAGAAGAGAAATAAAATAATGTAAATGTGAAAAGGGGATGATGTGAAGTTTGGGGGGAAGGCAGAATGCTCTGATGCAGAAGGGAATAAGGCAAATTCATGAAACTTAAAGTGTTGTAAAGTACAAAAAAATGAGAGGGACAATGGTAGGAAATCACTCAGAGAAATCTACAGTTCTTCTACTGTAGGAGTCCAAGAGGAGAAACTGGATACAAGAGTGCTTGACAACTGGCAGCAGTTTTTTTTTTTAATCTAGTAACTTCTATTTTTTCTCTATGAAATAGTAAGCGTGCTACATTAGTTTGCCAGGGCTGTTCTTTAGAGTACACAGAGGACTGGGTATCTCAAACAAGCAAAATTTCATTATAGTTCTATACGCCAGTGTGCAAGATGAAGGCGTGAGTAGAAGCCTTTATTGAGAAAGCGCTCCTTGGTGTGTACCCAAATCTGTTCACTTCCCATGCTGGCAGTTTACTCTTTCAGACTGTCCCAATATCATCTTCAAAGAAACCAATCATAATGGATCATATCCATCCAATGAACCTAGTTTTACCTTAATTACCTTTTGAATACGATCTGAAGACAGCGACTGCACAGCGAGTAGGGCATTTGCCTTGCACGCAGCAGACCTGGGTTCGATTCCTCCACCCCTCTCAGAAAGCCTGGCAAGCTGCAGAGTATCTCGTCACATGGCAAAGCCTGGCAAGCTCCCTCAATATGCCAAAAACAGTAACAAGTCTCGCAATTTGTTGTGAGACATCACTGGTGCCCGCTGGAGCAAACTGATGAACAACAGGAGGACAGTGCTACAGTGTTACCTTTTGAAAGACTATCTCCAAAGAGTATCATATTAACATCAGGGTTTCAATACATGAATGTATGGGCAAAGGAGGGAAGGAAATGACAGGGTTTGGTTTATAACATGCAGCTAAGTTGCAGAAGTGAAAAAGGAGATAGATACAGCAGAGGTTCAAAGAAGTTTGAAATAAATCTAAAATAATCTGAAATAGTTCTGGCATTAAGGATAAATGACATAAATAGTTTTGAGTAGGCAACTTACTTGAAATTCAATTTAAAAAAGACATTAAGAAATTATTATTGCATTAACCACAACACCCAATAAGAGAGAGAGAGAACAAAAGGGAATGCCCTGCCACAGAGGCAGGGTGGGATGGGAGGGATGGGCGGTGGGAGGGATACTGGGATCCGTGGTGGTAGGAAATGGGCACTGCTGGAGGGATGGATATTTGATCATTGTATAATTGAAACCCAAGCACAAAAATTTGTAAGCCTGCAACTGTACCTCATGATGTCTCACTAATACAATAAAAAAAATAAAGCCAAAGCTGACCAAAAAAAAATTATTATTGCATTAAAAGATTGTTTTATAAGTCATAAACTGAGTTCTAATCCCTGCTCTGCTAACATCCACTGGATAAATCCAGCTGCCATTTCTGTGACTCTAAAAGAGGGATACATATGGCGGGACAGACAGAGGCCTGGGAATCTTTGGCAGCCTGCTCCTACTCCCCCTCTCACACAGGAGAGCTGAATTTTTGAACCTCAATTCTTTGTCTCAACATGGAATCCCCTAAGTTCCTCCTAAAACTCTGTACTTAATCAAATCAAATGAAGTTACCTCGAGAAAAAATGGATTTTGCCATTAAAAGATTCCCTGAAATATATCCCCAAAAATTGTTTGGAAAACATTAATCTGCCGTTTGTTTTTTTGAGCCACACCTGTCTATATATAAACCCAGGGCTTACTTCTGGCTCTGACCATAGGGATTACTACTGGTGCTGCTTTGGGGACCACCTGTAGTGCCAGGGATCAAATGGGGGTTGGCTACATGCAAGATTAAGAGCCTTACCTCATGGAAACTTCCATTTCTGTTCTTTTCTACATCCTTCTCTGTGCCCTCAAGTTAATATTATCTATATGGGTAAAGTCCTTTGTATGCCTTTTTCTCATCTTTGCTGGAGTTAAACACTGGGTGCTGAATTGCTACAAGACATTTTAAGTGATTAGTTACTTAACATTAAATAATTACATTCTAAAATAGCCTTCAAATATGTCTAAACTAAGTTTTGCATGTTTTTTTAAAAAGTGATATAACAGATATATTAGCATTAAACAACACATGGCGAGATAGCACATAACCTAAACAATGGTTTTAACAACTAGAATTGTTTTTTTTTTTACAGTGATAAGCATTGACAACTATTTATAATATCAGTTGACAACTGCCCCTGTTGGTTCAGGTATTTCACAATGCCATCAGTAAAATGAAACCCTCACCCCACCCACCAGCGAATCTTTCTATGGCATTTCTGAAAAAGCTTTCACTATCCTATTTGCCATTTAATGATTGTAATATAGTCGTTATGCACAAATCTTTGCCTATGAAAGAAAGGTACTTTTCCATTGTCTTTAGTTCATTTCAACTAGACTATATGATCACTCGGCTGTTTGGGCTGACCAACTGGATGGCCACGAGTCACGTACAGCTATAGACATTTAAGTAAAATTAAATAATTTTTTTCCCTTCATTTCCCAGCTGCATTCCAAGTGCTCTATAGCCAAATACGGCACGTGGCTACCACACTGGTCATGAAGAATTATTTCCTTCACTGCAGAAAGTTCTGCATTGGCATGTTACAAATCATAAGAAATTTAATGACAACTTCTGTTTTAGATCAATCACAATGCATTCCTTGGCTTGGGGAAGGTTTTAATCTAGAGGAATAGGGATTTCTGTTCTATCCTAATAATGCAGAACACCATAAACAGGGAAGAAATAGAGGTAAAAAGCATCTGTATAGGCAACTGTCTGCCAGGATGGGATTAGCATCTGGACTAATTTATAAATTATCCCACACTAACAATGTACTTAAAAAGAAAAAACTTGGTAAGGAAGCAAAAGACTGAAGCATATAGGAGGTACTAAATCACACAATATAATTGCTAAAGTAAATACTACCCTAGTGACTGATGTGAGGTTAAAGGGCAGAAAGGTAATGGGATAATATGAGAACCCTTTTTTCCTTTATAGCAAACAAATTTGAAATGGCTGACTGTGTTGCAAATGCAGCCACTAAATTCACAGGCAGATAAAAATGCATCTTGAGACCACAAAGATTGAGATGAACTGACACAATGCAGAGTTATTTCACAACTGTTCATTATTCATGAAAAAAGTTAATGTTATATTATATTTGATTTATATTAACAACTGACAAAATATATTTTCACTGAATGAAAAATTTCTTATTTTAAAAACTGATTGGGTCAAAATATAATGTTCAGTTTTTAATGCTCCTTCTACTCTAATAACACACACTAAATTATACTATAATGTTCATTAAATAGTTGTTCACTAAAAAAAAAAAATTAACTCCAGAACATAAGGAAAGATGAGAATTATATTTTTTCTTCTAAAGACAGTTTATTTTATCCTAAAGTAAAAATAACTCAACTGAAACTCATTTAATCCCATGTCCAAAATTTAAAAAAAATTATTTACAGTTAAAAGATCAATATAATGTTCAGAAGGGTGAAACTTAAGTATTATAGGAGACATGAACCTTACATAATTTTGTAGGTAAAAAACCTCAAATATGTGCTCTGAAAAAAAACTAGAATGAGATATTGCTGAATTTAGAGAATGAGATATTTAAAAAACAAGACTCATCAAAATAACATGAGACCAAAACAAAACAAAAACTAAAAAACAAAAAAAAAAACCTATCAGAATGCAGAGAACAAAACCAAACTGGCACTAGAAGTAAAACAAAAATAATTGGCCAACATTTTGCTTCATTCAGCTATGAATGCTAAATATTTCCTATCACAAATAAAAAGGAGTTAACAAGAGACTGAGTTCTAAACCAATAGTCACTATTTGAATGAAAAGACATCTTCAAATACAAGTTTAATAAATCATCATTGTTTATTTAACAAAGGTATTACTACATCAGATCGTGGTTTAAAAGTATTTAGATGTGTGATATGAAGAGAATGTCAATCACAAGAGTCTTCTGAAACCTTTCTTCAGGAATTTTTTCCCACCTTCTTGCCTAACAGTAAAAGGCAGATTAAGGTTTACATGAACACATTCTTTACAACTGCACTCTTAACAGAAAATCAGTATATAAATAGCACTGGGCATTTAGTAAATAAGTCACAGACTCATCAGTTCCAAGTGCAGTTCTGAAACGTAACCCGAAGGAGTGTTTAAATCTTAAGATTGAGTGATCTGCAGTGTTTCCAACATGTCTTCAACTGCCTTTAGAGAGTATTTGGTTTCCTTCTTACTTCGACCTGCAAACTAATTTTTACAAAATATAGTTAGGCTCAATTTCAGTGGCAGGTTCAAAATCACGATCTTACTTTCATACTGCTAATGAGACAGCATTATTTTATCACTAGCATAAAGCCACATACGCTCTTTTCAATAATAACAAAATTTGAGTTTTAAAATCATTACATTAAAAGCTTATCTTAAACTGAATTTTATGAATAATTCACTACATAAATGGTCAGCTGAAAATATTTAAGTTCTATAATTACAAGTAAAACATAGATATGATTTTAAAATTACCCGTGTCAGACATGAAAACTTATATGAAATGAAAAGCATGATTTATAAATGCAGTTTATTTATAGTTGGGTAAAAATACAGACTAATTCTGTCTGGCATCTAAATAAATTTCTCTAATTTCAAACCAAGTTTGAGTTTACATTGTAAAACAGTTTTGAGATAACTTTTGTTAGCTGTTTTAAAGTTGCAAATATATCTCTAAGGTTAAAGGTTGTACTTTTGAAAAATTCAGTCGTTAATAGATGAGAGTAATGTTTCCATGGAGAAAGCCATCGAAACTTTATGTTACACATTGAAGTGATCATGTAAGTGTATGATGTAAACTGGATTTTAAAATATTCATTTCTAGTTAAATAAATTGTAGTTTGCCTTGTAAGACAAAATTGCAATTAGATTTTACAATGAAAACAAAATAATACCTTAAATACTATCTTTGTATATTTAAAAGCAAATTCATGGCATATTAAATTCAATATAGGACACATAATCCGCAGAGCACACTGTTGAACACCCCATGCTGATTTCAAAATGAGTTTTCTAACGAGACCAACAATTCCCATCATTTATCAGTTTAGCATTACAGCTTTACTAGATAAGTTAAGTGCTCCTTCTAGAAGAAGGGTAAGATTTATTTTATCTATATTGCCTGTTTTCCTCCTGGTTAAAGCACTGATTAACATTTGCTGTTAGTACCATATAATATTTTCAGTTCACATCTGCACACTCAATACGCTTTTCAAGTGGCTGAACTTTCTTTTAAAAAACACAATGTTATCTCTAGTACTTAGTTCTTGATTTATTATGTGTTTCTTCTCTTTTGCAATTAACTGAAGTTAGCAAACTTCTGGTGACCTACTGAAAACACAGAGAGATCAGGCACAGGTAATACCATACAAGCAACAGGTTCAAGGTTTGGTAACCTGCCTCTGACCTTTCCGCCTGCAGATCTACTTCCTAAACCATTAGCTTCTACAGTAGGATCTTGATAGATAGGATAGAATAAACAAAGAGGGTTTCTAGAAGAAAATGTCAGGAAAGAGAAAAAATTGCTCCCCTAAGATCAAGATTGCGTTGTCTTTCATTAGACATTACCAATATGAACAAGTCAAACATTCACCATGACAGGTCAAAATATGGTAAGAGTCACACCACATTTAAAGCTTTGCCTTTTCCCAATTTCAATTGGTGAGTAAAGACTGTGGGGGCGTGCTTATTGCTTCCATTAAACAGTTGATAAATTCACTTTTACAAGAACAGAAAGCCTTTTCTTCTAGTACTGCCTATTCCAAAGTAAACAGGAATGGTCCTAATCAGATACTTTAAGGTCTAATTCTAAGAAAACGCTTTGATGGGTTGGGGAGGAAGTACAAAATAGGACACCTTATAGTAACATTCACTATGCTTTTATACATGGCAAAACTGAAAAAAAAAATCTTTATGTGGAGATGAAGCCATAGCATGTACTTTAAAACCCAACATTGTCTTGGTTTATGCTTTAACATTAACAAATAATAATACATGAAATATGATTTTTAAAAATTAGCTAAGCAAAAATAATGTGTCCATCAACACTATATACACAACCAGTGCAATTTAGAACAAACCAAACTTTTTCGGAGGGTCTGAAAAAATAAAAGGAAAGTTGGATATATAAATCTATCGCTTCAAATTTTGCCTGACATGCAATTATTTTGTCTATTGCAGAATTATACGGCAATTTAACTGATGAAGCCAGAATCCTATTCTTCCCCTCAAATAATGATTTAATTTTCTATTTCCCAAAAGGATGGTAACAGAATCACCTCTGCAATCATAAATAACATATGGATCACTGACAGACACAGATGAATTGAACGGTGTACCAAAGAAGCATTTATCTGGAAAATTATTGTGAGTAGGTTTCACATTAAAGTTTTTTCATAAGCATTAATCAAACTTGCCTGCCTCTACTGAACATGCTAAACCAATTACCTAATTGAAGAGCAAGTAGTAGCCATATTCTGTTTCATTATTAAGTAGAAACAAATAAAAACAGCTTTTAAAATATCACTTTCTCTGATTTATAAATGCCCAGAAAAAATTACAATAAGGAATTCTTATTATATACTTTGCACTTGTTTATATGTACAAAGTATACATAATCATGAAGTACCCAATTAGATACCAGAATTTATCATTAAAATGTCAGCCTCTGAAAATGATACTTTCCAAACTTATCACATATAATGCACTTTTTATTCCCCAATACATTAAGATTTTGATTAAGTAAATTCTCTTCTCCTAAATCCACATTGTATCTTAAAGGAAACTCATCATTGTATTTTAAAGGAAACATTCAAATAATAAAAACTCACTAACTAGACTTAAAGATTAATGATTTAGTATTTTTGATGACTGGATTAAAATTTGCCCACACACTATTTGCAGGATATAAAATAGGTAGGCAAGTGAAAACTGAAATAAACAGAAATGGTGGTTGGGTGATCTTCAAGATACGCAGAAAGCAGTCACTACAGGGTCCCTACACTTTGATCTTTATATAAAGTTTATAATAGGCAAAGTTAAAAAAAAAATGGAGCCCGAAGGTGTCATCGAGAATAATTGGAATGAAATTGTTGACAGCTTTGATGACATGAACCTCTCCGAATCCCTCCTCCGTGGCATCTACGCCTATGGTTTTGAGAAACCCTCTGCCATCCAGCAGCGAGCCATTCTTCCTTGTATCAAGGGTTACGATTACAAAGTAGATAATGGAAATTCTTAGATAATGGAAATTCTGTAAAACCTACATGAGGCAATGGTGAAAGAGCATTGTGTCCAAACTATTTTACACCCAAAATGTATGGACACTGTCATACGCAAACTCCACCTCAATAAGTCAAATAAAAATAAAAAGGCAAACTAAGAGAAAAGAAAAGAGAAGACTCTTAGGGAATTATGCAAAGTTTATTAAACTTCCAAAGGACTATGTTTCTCTTCCCACTGAACAGCAACATATTGCTTCTTGGTAATCCAGGTTATTTGCACGATTTTCTTTGCTCAATGGGAAATTACCAACAAGTGATGTAGTCAGAGACTTGGAAAGAACCTTGTGCATTGCAATTTGCCTGTTTGCTGCATTTGGAATCCTGAGACCACGGTGTGACTAAGACCATGTTACAAGTTAGCCTGTCAAATGAGGCCCAGAAGGCCCAGCACAGCCAACTGTCACGACAGTTCAGAGGCAATAAAGTGCCAGCAGGTGGCAGAAACAGAAATAAGCCCAGTCAAGACTAGCAGAATTGCTCATCAGAGTCCAAGTCAAACAGCCTGCGAGAGAACCATAAGCAAGTGAGGCCTTTTCTTCCAGCTTTCTTCAGCCATCTGACATCCGCGGGCTGGCACTGGCCTGCACCCAGGCCCAGGGGCGAGCAATAATAACCAGGTGTCATAGCAGTGCTCTGTAACCTTTCTCTACTGGACCAGCACCAGTAAACCCATGGCTGAAAAATATTGCTTTCAACCATTCCATTGGCAAAAGGCGACAGATGCAAATATTGGTGGAAATCTAATTGAAAGAAAATTCAGAACCTCTGTAGAAAAGCAAACAATATGAAAGTTTCGAAAGGACCAAGAGATCTTATTTAAATCTGTTACCTGTTTCGGTAGGCAAGAATGATGGCAGGGCTAGAGAGAACATGCCTGTTTGCCAATCCCTATTCAACAGCAGCTCGGCAGATATCTCATCCCACCACATCCTCAACCCCTACATGAAATCACCCTGCTTGGCGAGGAGCAAGGAGATCCCACACCTCCTGAGCACCACTGCAGAACTAGACCCTCTCAAAACAAAACAACTATTTTTTTTTAAGTTGGTTTTGCTTGATGCATGATTACTACTTGAGTAATGGAAGTTGCTATACAGAAACCTGACCTGTCCAGTTGAGAGAGTTGTAGGAGTGGCAACCAGGATGGCACACTGACTAACATTCAAAGACAGTACCTTTCTTTAGAGTCAAGAAAAAACAAATCCCTTCAGGCCAGCTGTGCAAGCCCCCTCTACGGACTCTGGGCTATGCAGTTCAAGACGACACAGGATGTGCCAGAGCTCTTTCCAGAGAACACTGAGACTGCATCGAACAGTCTGCAGAGAACAGATCAAACAAAATCTGATCAAAATCTTCTTCAGGGAGAGTTCAGTGCTCCTCGCACAAAATGGGCCAGCCAGCCATGCAGCAGTGTTGAGGTAGGCAGTTGGGTGGTGCCATGAATTAAAATACAAGGCTTGGGGCTGGAGCAATAGCACAGCGGGTAGGGTGTTTGCCTTGCATGCGGCCGACCCGGGTTCGATTCCCAGCATCCCATATGGTCCCCTGAGCACCGCCAGGGAAATTCTTGAGTGTAGAGTCAGGAGTAACCCCTGTGCATCACTGTGTGTGACCCAAAAAGCAAAAAAAAAAAAAAAAAAAAAAAAAAAGGAAATAAAAAAAAATACAAGACTTGTGGGGCAGGAGCGATAGTACAGTGAGTAGGGCATTTGCCTTGCATGCGGAATTCCTGGCATCCCATATGGTTCCCCAAGCACCACCAGGAGTGCAAAACCAGGAGTAACCCCTGAGCATCGCCTGGTGTGACCCACAAAGCAAAAAACAAAATAAATAAAAAATACAAGGCTCTGTATGCACACCAACACTTTGAGCTACCCTCCCAATCCAGGTTTGTGTTTTTTAAAAGAGAAAAGCAGAGAA